AACATCTCCATTGAATGTCCACCCATTATCTGTCTATAATCTTGTAGTCATTGTTTAAAGTCGGGCATTTTTCCCACATGTTGCCTTTTCTTAAAACAAAGTATTTTATCAACCACTGACAAAGAGAGAAATTCACCACCTTATCACTTACTACATATGCATCCTGTACAGCTGACGTATTGGCCTGCATAAGATAACGAAGAAAAAAAACAGAATTTAAGACAGGATTTTTTTTTTAAATAGAAATTTTATCATCTGATAAAGAGTACATTTATATACATGTTTAAGCCAGAATGATTTGACATTTGAATATGAGTTCCCTACGACTTTAATCAGAGTTTCAACCAACTCAAATGCCTGGAACTCCTCTCTTGACCGTTGTCTGAACATCCAGCTCCCTTTTTCAAGAGGGAGGCCAGATTCCTACAAGAAGGGGGTCATTCTGAGACTGTAATCAGTTATGACGATGTATCATTACTGTTGTCAAGAGTCTTGAATGAAATAAAATAGACCAGACCTGCTGAAGCAGGACCCATATTAGACTGTCTATCTAGCTTTTAGTTAATTCTACCAACACTCATGAAAAAAACACAGCATCCGGTTAAGGTAACTATGCGTCTTTTTTTAAGTGAAAATCATGGAAGACGTGGTACAATAAACTGAAACATTTGAACCCAACCATCCTGTAAGATCACCATCTATTAGTCTTCCTGCCCAAAACAATATCCAACTACCGGTATGTCTTATTTTGTGCTCTCCAGCCACAGGAAAGGGATGTCCTCATAAACCTATACAACCATCCTTTAAAAATTAGCATCAAGTGTGCTCCAAAAGATTTAAGTGCTGCAACCAGCATCTTACCTAGATAAACTAGTTATAGATACTAGAACAATAAATGCCCATTGTTAGAGAAAAGTGCAAATTAAGGTATTGAGTCTGATCAAATGATGTAGACATCTGCAAAGGCTATGCTGGCTGACATAAAAGAGAAAGTGTTTGTATCTATGGGTTGCATAGTGGGATACACATTTCCAAAGCAATAAGAAAGGATGGACAAAGGAGACATTACACTAATGCTCACTGGAGCAGTAAAGTCTGCCTCCGTCCAATATTTTGAAACAAGAGTCGGCCCCTCTGGTGTTGTAAGTGAAAGCTTAGGGAATCATTACCATGGCCTCTCCATAACCTCAATAAGTCAGGTTAGTGTCAATAACCCGGCCTTTAAAAATTGATAAGGGTGATCACTTTGCTTATAGTGAGACCGTTTTAGAGCAGCGGACGTCCCTGTGAGGTGATTCCCATTCCTAAGGCATGCCTCGCATTTAGGAAGCATCAGCCCTGAATATTGCTTCAGGACAATCATCTTCACTGTGTTTAGGCATTTATCTACATACTGCTCAACAGAGAGCCACAACAGATGATTGAGAGAAACTATTAGGCTTAGATCATCCACTGATACCGCTGCACACCTCGGTGCTTTTCTGTTTGATTTGCCTTCAAGCAGAAATAAATCTGACAATTTCATGCTTGAGATGATACGGTGTGCTCATCAACTAAGTCCTGTTTAACAATAACTCACATACAGGGCAGCCTCACCGCATCTCACACACACAGTCAGTGGTGACAGTGACATATGTTAAATGTGTCTGATCAAAATGCCAATTTGGAGAATCAGGCCAAGTTCTTTAAAGAAACCTTTTCTGTTTGGCATGTGGAAATGTCACAGACCTGCATTTATTCATGTGGACATTAGAGGCGCATTCCTGTCCCGAGGACCCAGGAGACAAAAGATGTGGAACTCCCCTGAGGAGAGTGACCTGGAGGACACAATCACGCATACCAGCTGGACTTGATTCTCAAACCCAACCCCCTACATATATGAACAGCAGAGGGATCCCTGATTGGCTTTACATTTATGGCTGACCAATCTTTGTGACATGTGTCATCTTGAAGGACTGAATATGTTTTTAAAAGAAATGTATTTATTTTTGATTCACTGCTCCTAAAAAAAAACAAAAAATAAAATAAAATAAAATAAACATATGAATGTTGGCATTTAGCAGAGCAAACCTTGACCAGAAAGGGAATTATCTACAAGGATTAAAAGACCTCTTCAGTTCTTTATATGTATTTTTTCCTAGTAAGTGAGTAAACACACAGACCTTTTGCAGGATGGGAACAGATGAGAGCAGCAGTTATGGCAGTGCTGCTGCCATCTAGTGGACAGATGTGTAAAACACAAGCATTTTTTAGCACCTTAAAAGAGTATTTTAAGTTTTAACTTAGGTTTTTAGCTATAAAAAAGTCGTTTTTTATGGATAAAGTTATATAAAAAAAAAAAAACTTTTAAACATAATACATTTTTGTTAAATGACAATGAAATTTACTGTTTTTTAGAGAAATCAAAGAAAAAATGCTCTTATGAGTCTTATACAGCAGCATTTAACTCTATGCAACTATTTTGCATAATTTGTTTAATAATCAAGTTGCTATATTAAAATCTTGTCATTGGTCTTTTATCTAACAGTTTGGCTTTTAATGCACAAATGAAACAAATGTGATAATATATATTCTTTTTATTGACCACCTTCAAAAGATAAAACCGGTTCCTCCGTAGAAACTCACAACGAGTGGATATATTTGCAAAAAAAATCACCTTTGTTTGACATATTTTTCCTCTATGGCAGGTATTTGGTCAGTGTTATCGCCCTAAATCACACACTGTCAAAATACAATACCTTCAAATTTAGGCAGATACTAGAAAACTGTCTACTGCATCTATAAATGCTGTCCAAACAGGTTCCTATGAAGGCAAAAATCATCAGGATGAAAGAAAATGCAGAAAAAAAAATTCCCCATTTAAGAGAATTATAGACTCCTCAGTACATTATAACTTTTTATATCCTTAATAGTAAACATAACACGCAAGATTATTTAAAAAACCCATATGTTCTATTTTTAAGAAAGGAAAAAACATTCTACGAACCAGACATACCATTTTCGTAACGTTATGGTCATCCATTTGTCATTAGATGAGCTAAACAACAAAGAAATGGTTTGTGTTGTACCTAAATGTATCTTTTTATTTATATTTTCTTTTCCCCAAAAATCACTCCCTCAAAATAAAAGTGTTCATCTGTATTAACCCCTTGCTTGCAGATCAATATGCTTCAATCATAAAATTGTGAACACTTGGCCACACAAAAAACAGGTAGAAGGGCAGGAAGTGGCTCCCAAACCGCACTTTGGCGACACTTCAAATAAATCATATGGGCCTCATGTCTAAAGTGACACAATCAGTCCAGCCAATTTTTTGAAAAGCTTGTAAAATACTACACCTTGAATGTATCTCAAACCATTTTCAAATTAGACTTTTCTATTTTGACTGCTTTAGTTAATGATAGACTTTTAAACAAAGTAAATATTACTAGTTAATATTGTTTTAGTGTGTCACATTAACAGGGGAAATATGAAATATGTGAGACTAAAAAGCAACATGCTTGATTTACATTACTGTATTATATTAAATGAGTTTAAGTTAAGTTTATTCACTATCATGATTTTAAAAAGCTGTGTTTTCCTTGTTGCCCTGACATCACACTCATGCTGTCTATCTGCCTTGAACAATATGGAAACATGCAGTTAAGCCAGTGAACTTAAAGAAAAAGGACCAATGTTTTTTACATTAGAAAGTTATCACAATTAAGACATATATGTTGCATTTGATTCTAAAAGTTCACAGATCTGAATGTTTGACCCAGTTTGCTAGGTTAGGTTATAGAAAACCCTTTTTACAGGATAAAATAGTGAAAAGAACAAATAAATGTAATAAAATAAGATGATGTTTTATTAATCTCAGAGATCTTTTGTTGATCAATTTAGTTCACCTAAGAAAACTAAATTTTTTTCACTTAAAATAATTTAAAATATTTTAACATGATACTCGACATGGATATGTTGTACTTGGTTACCAATACATAACACAGCATTTACTTTCTCAGAACCAACGGGTTACTTTATTTCAAGTCACAAACTCTGCCAGGTACTTTCTAGAACCTTTTTTAGCTTTTACAAAACTGTATCCATAACTTACCAGTAACAGAAAAACATTTTAGATCCTTACCAGTTACTTTAATGTATCTTTTCCAGAATTTACCATATACTCTGCACATACTCCCTGGACCGGTGCCTACCTCCAGCCTATGGGGGAAAGGCAGGGTGCACCTTGGACAGGTCACCAGTTTGTCACCGGGCAACAAAGAAACAGACAGACATACAAGCATTTTTTTAACTGTGGGAGGAAGCAGGAGTACCTGGAGAGAATCCATGCATGCATGTTAGAAGAGCAGAAAGACACCGGGCCAGGTATTAAATCCAGATTCTTCTTGCTGCAAGGCAACACTAATACAAACTGCACGGCCCTAGTTGAAACATTTCTAGTTCATAATGTTTCTTGAATGCTCTGGAAAGTACCTGGCCACTCCATACAGGTGTATAATAACCTCTGGAGAAGAAAGGAAAAGCACTGGAACGTGTAAGTTCCAGCTAAGTTATCGTAAATGCAAACTTTAAAAAGTGAACTCCCAGTTTAGGTAAAGTAACCAGTTTTTTCCAAGACATTTGAAGCAAATTGACGTTCAGGTTTTTTTTTTTAGAGCTATACCAATACAGATACCAGTATCAGGCGGGGCTCCGATCCAGCACTAAAATGGTGGTATCGATATCGGCGAGTACCAACAAATAGGGCACTGATACCATTTTTAGAGCCAAAAGTTTATTCAACTATTGTCACCCATTCCAGGTAAGCAATACGAAGTTCTACTGGATTCACTTTGTATTAGTTTTTTTCCTGTTTCACAAAGGTAGCCAGCAGCTTGACAAAACCATGGTGCAATTATTTTACATCCAAGTAGTATGCAGTTCTTCATATATGCACACACATCAATTTCAAACAGATGGCATCGGTATCGACCAATACTGCACAGCCAGGTATTGGGTATCGGGGCCAAAAAATGGCATCGGCCCAACACTATTTTTTTTTACAAAGATTTTGAGAAAAGCATCTAAGTTATTATGGAAGTTCCGAAAAGTCTCTTGCATGTTGAAGAAAGTTTACGTGTTTTTTTAATACAAATTTTCTAAGATGTTACAATCTAATCCTAATTATGTTTTACTCTTCACCGGGAGGTTTTTCATGTAATCACTCATTCTTCTTTGTCAAGATCAAAAGTTATCTCAGAAACTGTCAGGCTGTAAAATAAAACAGTGTGATGTTCTCAAAGCAACCACGTTCGTGTTTGACAATTCTGAGCTACTTCTATCTTTGTCTACTGCATCTGCTCGCCCAACACGGAGTCCTTCACTCCCGCTGCCAACACTGAGAAGAGAAAGGGAGGAAAGAGGGAGCGGAGGTAGAGGGCCACCCTGGGGATGGGGTGGGCCAGCATAACCTCCTTCCTCTTCCTGTTCACCGTCTGCAGAATCTCATTGGCCAGGACCGAGGGCCGCACGCCATGGCTTAGCTGGCTGCTGATATCTGAAGAAGTACAGATGGATTTAGACCTACCCAAGTATTTTTATTTTAAACATTTGGTAAACCTTATATTTTTATCAATTGGTGACATCACACTCACATTTAGCAAAGAGATTTTGTTTTGGAGCTGTCTTCACCGCAGGTGGAGGTTCAGCGGCATTGATGAAGGTGTGGCTGATGGTGCTAACAAGAATCCCGTACTCCTCCACTTCTGCCCTGAGGCAGTCAAAGAAGGCCTGCGCCGCATGTTTGGAGGCAGCATCTGTCAACAGACAGGAGAAATGTCATAACACAAGCTTGTCTGCAGACAAGTCTCATTCCATTCATTACGCATTCTTTGTGTAATTGTTTTGCACCTCGTTGGCGGAAGCCCTCAGGTCTTAACTCTCTACTTAGAAGGTACACAGTAACTAAAAACTATCAATGAGGAAGTAAACGTTTAAAAACCAATCAAGTCTAGACCGAGATTTTAGAAATAGAACAATCTAAAGACACAACACAATCTCTTTGCTGCTGTATTCAGATTTATTCTCTATAATCTAAGCCATGGAGCGAACAGAGAACATTTGCTGTGGGAATTAAAGAAAGATCCTGGCAAGCAATCTCTGAATGCATAAAATAACAGTTGGCCGATAATATTTCCAGGCCTGGGGGAGAAACGGAAAAGGAAAAACAACTTTTGATTAATGACTTAGTTGTCACAATACAGAGGCATCTGAACAAACTCTGTACACTTCGCAAAGTATAATGACCTTCAGTAAATCTTATGGCGCATTTAGACTGAATGCTGTCTCCGTGGTGATTTCCACCAGCACAGCAGGAAGTTCACAGCTCTGCATCAGATGCACAGTGTTTACACCCTGGATGGTGTCATCAAATTGGAGGAGCTCCAGCTGAAACTGACACCCCACCCACCTGAAAAAACTCACTGAAGACACTGAATGGTTATTATATTAAAGAAAGTTCCGGGTTCGATTCCCAGCCAGGGGTCTTTCTGCATGGAGTTTGCATGTTCACCCTGTGCATGCAGAGGTTCTCTCCGGGTACTCCGGCTTCCTCCCACAGTCCAAAAACATGACTGTTAGGTTAATTGGCTTCTCTAAATTCTCCCTAGGTGTGAGTGTGTGTGTGAATGGCTGTTTTTCCTGTTTGTCTCTTTTTTGCCCTGCGATAGACTGATGACCTGTCCAGGGTGTACGCCGCCTCTCACCCGTAGACAGCTGGATGTAGGCACCAGTACCTCTCGGGACCCCTTTTGGGATAAGCATGACTGGATGGTTAGAAGCATCCAGAAGCATGGATGGATGGTTATTGCATAATTAGTGCAGGTTTGGACAATTAAAATGGAAATTTGATCAAATTAAATAAATGAATAAAAAAAAGATGTGCTACTATTTTTTTAGACATCCATTTTTTTGTCACGCTTATCCCAAGCGGGGTCGCGAGGGGTGCTGGTGCTGCAACTTATTTGTTTATTATGTTTGCTAGCTTAATTTTTTGTGTTTCGTGGCCCGATTTTTGTGTTTGCAAGCTTGATTTTTGTGTTTGCAATATTTTTTTGTATTTGCAAAACATTTATGTATTTGCACCACGTTAATTTATTTGCAGTACTTTTGCACCACTGTAAATTTGGGCTGTAACTTACACGAGCTTCTGAATGGGACTGCCAGTCTGCCCTGGATGCTGTTGACCAGAATAACGTGTCCTGATCTTCTGGACATCATCGCCGGAAGAACACCTGCCACAATTTACTGTTAGATAAAGTCCTCCTTAAAAAAGTGTTAAGACTGATATAATCCACCTTGAAGAGTATTTCTAATTATCTCACCTTTGGTGAGAGTGCTTGGGCCAAAGTAGTTGATGTCCATTATATTTCTGTCCATTTCCAGAGAGACGCTCTGAATGGGGGCTTTAAGTTTCACGCTGCTGTTGCAGATCAGCACATCCACATAGCCATAGCAGTCCATGACCTCAGCCACCACATCCTCCATACTGTCCATGTCACTGAAATCCAGGATCACCAGCTTTGGGGCGAATGTCTAAAACGAGTATATTTAAATTATTTTAAAAGAATTAAACATCAAATTATATCTCAAGAACATGTAGTAAAAAAAAAAGGTTAACCAAACTATCAGTGTAGAAAACATCCTTGTTGTTAAACTGATTTGTTGTCTGACTCCACACCGCTGTCTAAAGGTACTCTTGCTATAGGCTTAATATTCTGTGTAGGAGAAGACACATGAGGACAGCGTGCTGTCAGACAGGATATCCTTCTATTGTGCAGAGCAGAGGAAAGGATATCGGGGAAGTGATGACAAAAACGGGTTTCTGATCAAAACAAGGACAGATTCTGATATTCATGGATGCCTATAATATCAGAAACCTGTTAAAAGGCTAGCAGCAGATCAGTGCCTGGAAAAGGCTACAGATGACTGAAAAACAACTTCATAACAGGATAGGCTCGGGAAGGGTTCCAGTCCATTAAAAGACAGCACAGAGACAAATAGGACAAACAACCATGAATTCACACAAACATACCTCAGATAAATTTACAGAGGACCACTGGAGTTAACACTTTTATGTTTTAATGTGTGAGGAAGCTGGAGCATCCAGAGAGAACAAACTTGAACAGCTTTAGTAAATGAATTTATTCCCAACTCTATGGTTGGTCAAACCAGTGGAGGTTCATGCAAAGATTAACTCATATTTTGTTTAAAGTCATAGGGAAGCGGCTGTTCCAACCGTTGCATTTCCGAATCCTCCCGAGTGGTGCACAACTTTACACTAGTGAATGTGATTGGTCGTTTATCAAGGGACCAGGACTGTTGTGGCGGAAGGTTCGCAAGCAAGTTTGTTTTTATGCCGGTTTCTATGAAGCATCTTGCTAACCAGTTAGCAACTTAGTGCTAGTAGGTTCCCAATGGGAAATTCCATTGGGACCAAGTAGCACTAAGTTGGTGACTTAGATATGACACAGAGGTCATGGATGAGTCTCCTCCATCTTACATTTTCTATTTAAAGGAGGAAAGCGGGGATGAAGATGTTGTGGAAGAGGACACCAGAAGCTTGGTTTGGTGTAGAAGGCTTACAGCAGTCCATGTTTGAGCCCTTGCCTCGCAACGCTGCCAGTTCTGTTAGCTCTACGCCTGCCGAAGACACAGACGTCCATCCCCGTGAACACTGGGACGGAACTCAGTGCTAAAGTAAATTATTCTTATTTCTTATTAGAACCATTGCGTATATTAGCTGCTACATATGGATCAAGATGCTATGACCGAAAAAATTTGAATGACAGATGACTGTTGATATATGATTGGCCGAATTTAGGTGTACAAGCTGACGTATAACTAACGAGAAAAAAACAGATTTTAAGACATGATTTTTTTTCTAACTTTTGGGACGATATAGTCTAATAAAGAGTACATTTATGAACATGTTTAAGCCAGAATTATTTGAAATTTTAATATGACTTCCCTACGACTTTAAGAGCAAGTTACAGATAAGTTATATATTTCATCTGGTGCTGAAAAATGCTTTCTAATGCTGCCCAGAGCAAATGCCTGTACAGCCAATATCAAAAAGCAGTTGGTTCAGCACCAATAAAAGAAATATAATGTTATAATTCAATTCAATTAAGTTTATTTATGTAGCGCCAATTCACAACATATGTCATCTCAAGGCACTTTACAGAGATGCATGCAGATCATACAGTCTGATTGATTTAAAGTTTCTCTGTCTAAGGAAGGTAACTATTACTGTTGCACCGATACTGATACCAGTATCGGGCGGGGCCCTGATCCAGCACGAAAATAGTGGTATCAGTATCGGAGAGTACCAACAAATAGGGCACCGATACCATTTTGAGAGACAAAAGTTTATTCAACTATTGTCACTCATTCCAGGTAGGCAATAAAAAGTGCTACTGGATTCATTTTGTTTTAGTCTTTTTTCTGCTTCACAAAAGTAGGCAGCAGCTTGACAAAGTCATGATGGCGATTATTTTACATCCAAGTAGTATGCAGTTCTTCATATATACACACACGCATCAATTTCAAACAGATGCTATCGGTATCGGCCAATACTGCACAGCCAGGTATCGAGTATCAGAATCGGGGCCAAAAAAATGGCATCGGTCCAACACCAGTAACTATGTACCCAACCTCTTGACACCTACCAGTGATCCTTGTTTCATTTTCTCACCTCTCTTGGGTCAGAGTCAGTAATCAAAGAATCATAGAGTGATTCCAGTTTATCCCAGGTGGCTCCACACAGGATGAGCCTGGCACCGGCCTTATGGAAGAGATGGGCACATTCTGAAGAACCAAGCAAAGACATATCAAAGGGCTGTTTGACATTTGGAAAAATATTAAAATAAAATAAAAAACATCTTGAAAACATTAGTAACTATCTGAGCTAATTTTGAGGCAGTTTAGCGAGATTCATTTTAAAGAAACCTGTTGTAACCCTGGAAAAGGCAAACATGAGGTTTTTATAATAGCACAAAACAACTAGCCTAGAAGATAGCATACTGTAGAATCCATATAATTAAACACTGAAACAATTTGTGAAAATTGTATGTTTTTACTTTTGTTTTTGATTACAAATATATTTTTTAATAAATAAAGTTTAGCATAAAACGTAATGTAAAAACCTTTGTTTAGATTTTTTGTCTTCTAATACCTAAAAGTCTAAAATCTGGCACCAGAAGATTTATATTAGTCCACATGCAGACCAGCTCTGGCTATGCAAGCCACTCCCTTAGGAAGGAGTTGGCTCATCTAAAACAAGAAGAGAAGGGAGTAAGGGAAGGTTTTATGAGTAGAAGGATAGTGTTATCAGATAGCTGCTAGAGTATCTGAGTTATGTCAAGAAAGTTCATGAAGGTCAAAAGACATCAGTGACTGCTAATAGACATTTCATACACCAGGCTGTCGGGTTGTTGATGTCACTAACTTCCCACACCCCTAATAGGCCCACATAAGAGACGTGTATAACACCCTGGACTTTGACCCTCAATCCAAACAAAGGAATTCATTGCACTACTATTTACTATTTATTTGTCATGCTACTGTTACTTATTACTTGACCCCATACAAAAAGACTGCTAGCACTATTATCAGGCTACTGTTAGTTATACTTGAACACACTTGCGCTACTTTAATGCTTGTACACCAGGGTACACTATGTGCCTATCTTTGCTCTGGGTACACTGTGTTTTTACTGTCAGTTTCTATTGGTATGTGTGAATGTTTGATATCTCTCTGTCTTGACCATGTAAATGTCAGAAATGTCTTGTGTACACCATGGAGATGGAGAAAAATGCTGTTTATATGTCCCGTACATGTGAAAGAATTGGCAATAAAATAAAACCAAAGCATTTTAGTACAGACATGGACAGGTGGTTGCATGCATGAGGCACAAGGATGTCTCATTGGCCCAGTGTTGTAAAAAATGGTTATTTGAAGGGATATAAAATCACTGTCATCGCTAACAGCATTGTAAAAGCTTCCTGGATGGGAAGCGAAACGTCTTAAAACTTGGAAAGAAAGTCCAGTGGATTGTTTTTTTTTACTTTTTTGGGAATGACATTGTAAAGAGTCTACCCTACTTTCTGTGCAACCAAACAGCTTCATGCAAACCATCAAAGCAACCTATCATTCAAGTCCAGGTAATGCTTTTTTTTTCCTATGAGCCAACCTCACTGTTTTGATTAATAGTCCAATGCTCCAGCCTGATAACACCATCACTCTACTCATAATGCCGTACCCAAGCAATTGACACCTATCGCAGATGACACTTCGCTAAATCTATATTTAAGTGAAAATAGTCAGAACTGACAGATACATTTTAATAGCAATCAAGTATGGTCAAACGTTCGGAAAACTACCAGTTCCGACTCCAGACACAGCATCGGTGATCGCCACCACTTTGTTGCGCACTAAGCTCTTGGACATGAACTGTATGACCTCATTGTAGATGTAGTAAATCCCTGCTGCAAAGACTACCAGCAGGGGCAGCACCATCACCGAGGGGACGCCCATCTTCTGCAGAGAAGAAAAGAGCAAGGGTCAGTGATATGTGAGGTTGGTAGAACCAACAGTCTGCGCTGATTGGACGGCACTGCCAGGAATGCTCCCTACTACAGAAACACAAACACAAAAAGGCAAGTTTCAATTCCATTGTCTCTATAATAGAGTTTGGGACACAGTCGTCACATACATATAGTTAATTGCTGTACCTATCACTTATTTTTCAGAAGAATTTTTACTTTTACTCCCTTAAATATCTGTGCTTTCTGCTCCATATTTCACCGACTCTTTACGTCTATATATATTAATAATGGCATGGTGCAACAGCTGCAACAAAACAGAGGGAAAATTCCGGGTACAAAGACAATCTTTCCAGTTGGAGCAAATATTGTTTATTGAAAGCAACATGGAGAATGACAGGGGGCCGGGACGCTGCAGATGATGGATCAGTTTGTGATGCACAAAACATTCCTCCTCCATTCATCATTTATTGGATTGTAAATTTACATGTCGATTATATTTCAGTTATGGACAACTTACTTAACTAATAAAAACAAATTAATTTTATTTCCGTTTTAGTGCAGCTTTAATGCTGTGAATACCAGAGCTCTAAAAGTATTCAACTGATTATGGCGTACGTCTGTTCAGTTCAATCTATATGACCCTGTCGGAAATTTTATCTTTGACTATAGACTATTGCTTAATGATCTCTCTACAAACACTGTGAGCAAAATAGGAAAATACATTTTCTGTGCATTTTTAAACAGTTTTTAACATTTATTTTATATCTTTTAAGGGAAAAACGTCCTTTTACTGTTGAGTTTAAGTACAATGCGACCAAACTTTTTCCCTTACAGTTTATACTTTTACCAGAGTCTTTAACTTAAATAAAGAATGTGTAACTTGTTGTCACCTCTGGTCTGGGACAGCCCAATTTTATGTTGACACTGTACCAGGAACCCCTCCACGTCAGTCTGAGGGGGAGATAATACCCCAATTTCCACCAATGGGGGAGGGGTGGTTGATTTCATAGATGTAAACTGGGGGTGGGGATGATGCGGACAGAGGTAAATCAGCGGGTGCCGTGTGGTGAGGTGCTGATGACAAAGATTTTATCAGCTTGCAGGGGTTTTGTCCTGCGACATTTCTAAGGGTCGCGACCCCCATGTTAAAGACCTCTTGTTTAAAACAATCCAATCCTTTAGGTTTGTTGTTTTATCTGAATTCCAACAGAGATAGCATGATAATGCAGTAATGTAAACTCATTGTTTGCTCTAGTAGCTTTTTTTTGTTGTTGTTTTTATTGGTCAACAAAGAGAGGAATGCATTTCATGATATCATTGGACCTTTTAAATACATTGTACTGTTGGTTTTCCAAGCATAATTTGACTCACTGTCTTAAGCTAAATTGGACTCCACTGTTGTATCAGGATGAGCAACGGTTTTCAGCCAGACTGTTTGGCACTTGTGGAACCAAATAAGGTGACCCTTCTCTTTTCTTTTGCTTCAATTCCTATTGAGTGACTTACATTTTTCTATTTCTTTGTGTCACAAGCCTACTTTGATCTCCCTTTGCATCTTTACTTGGGAAATTGATTTTAGAGTTGAACAGAACGCCATTATCCTCTATTGTCCCACAGTTGGGAAATCCAGGTGTTATCAAAAGCCGCTAATGGAAGAAAAAAGACTATTACAAACGACATACTCAGATCAAATGCAATGTTCAACTGAGAAGCATGAATTCCAGAAGGTGCATAATAAGGTGGTAATAACTGCATAAAAACACAGCAGACTAGGAGAAAAGTGGATGACGTCTTGATGATGTTTTTTTTTTTTCATGAATGTTCTCTAAACGACCTCTGAGATCCCGCAAAAGATAATATGATTTATACTGAGATTAAATTACACATCGTTGGGTCCTGATCGCTAATTAGGTGCGCCCTAAAGCCAAGTTATTCGCTTTGATTTAATTTAAGAGTATTAAAGCGAAGGGGCTGATTTCTCTTGTTCCATTTCACGTCACAGATATACGCAGTAGTCTGGTTTTTTTTTTTTTTTTAAAAGAAGGGGGATAGTGGATTTTTTTCTAAGCATCCATAGCCTGATTAATATAGTCTATTGACCTAAAGCAATGTGCATGGTATGGTTGTTACATGTCAGGTACGCCTGTCATTGATCTTGACCAAGGCACCTTTCAGTAGAACTGCAGTCAGTCTCTGGACTGGCATGGCTGTCACTGCCCCTACATAGTTAGGGACTAATTTCCAACTGTGATCAGCTTCATAGTCATGGTAGGACACTTCTTTGATTTTATTTATTTAGCTCAGGCTACTAGTAAGTCCGCAGCCCACCGAATGTTGACAAGGCAACATTATTGCTATTATTGTTAATATATAGTGGAAATTTTACACTTTCAGTAATAAAATGTCACAGGGGACGGTATTGGGGGATGGCCATTAAGGGGGATGATTTTTAAGTTTTTTTTTAAGAAGGGGGATGCAATCCCCCCTCATCCCTCCTCAACTCGAGTACTGGATATTGTCCCCTTTTTTATTTTTTTCAAAAATATCATATATATATATATATATATATATATATATATATATATATATATATATATATATATATATATATATATATATATATATATATATATATATATATATATATATATACACACTTCCATTCAAAAGTTTGGGGTCATATAGAAATGTCCTTATTTTTGAAGAAAAAGCACTGTACTTTTCAATGAAGATAACTTTAAACTAGTCTTAACTTTAAATAAATACACTCTATACATTGCTAATGTGGTAAATGACTATTCTAGCTGCAAATTTCTGGTTTTTGGTGCAATATCTACATAGGTGTATAGAGGCCCATTTCCAGCAACTATCACTCCAGTGTTCTAATGGTACAATGTGTTTGCTCATTGGCTCAGAAGGCTAATTGATGATTAGAAAACCCTTGTGCAATCATGTTCACACATCTGAAAACAGTTTAGCTCGTTACAAAAGCTACAAAACTGACCTTCCTTTGAGTAGATTGAGTTTCTGGAGCATCACATTTGTGGGGTCAATTAAACTCTCAAAATGGCCAAAAAGAGAACTTTCATCTGAAACTCGACAGTATATTCTTATTCTTAGAAATGAAGGCTATTCCATGCGAGAAATTGCTAAGAAATTGACAGTTTACTACAATGGTGTGTACTACTCCCTTTACTACTTTGCTACTGTCTATTTCATTAAATAGTACCCACAGTAGCCTGTTTGTGCTGTCCTCTGAAGGGAGTAGTATACACCGTTGTAGGGAATCTAAGTTAAGACTAGTTTAAAGTTATCTTCATTGAAAAGTACAGTGCTTTTCCTTCAAAAATAAGGACATTTCAATGTGACCCCAAACTTTTGAACGGTAGTGTATATATATATATATATATATATATATATATATATATATATATATATATATATATATATATATATATATATATATATATATATATATATATATATATATTTATTTAAGAAACTCTATTAAAGGATTCTATACAGTCTCAAACTCAAACTCTGCAGCCCTTCCCCTGGTTATATAAATTAGTCTTTCCAACATAATACAAGACGCAACCTCCTTTATCCACATATGCCTGCAGGAGTCCAAAATCACTTAAAGTTGACTTGATTTTAGATAAAGTCAGAACAATTTCTTTTCAATATTTTTTTTATATTTTGGGAAGTCCCATCTGCAGTGATATAAAGTACCCTTTCTTTCCGAACAGATACACACCAGTTTTAATTTTTTTTAAATTATGTATTATAAAAAGAAATAAAGCTAGTGGTAAAGCTAAATTTAAAATCTGGTGAATGCTGGGGGTAACACAGCAGAGTTTCTGATATTCCCATAATAGCCAATAGATAATGTTGGCACTATGAAAGAGTTCCTGTGCGTTTGCTCAGGGCTATATAGGGTAGAATATTTAGGTCAACTCCCTGTCGGAGAACTGACACATTTACATTTCAAAGCAGTTGTTGGACTGTTCAGGAAGTAGAGGATAGCATCATCACAACAGCGCATAGGAAATAGTAAAAGCTCTGTTTTTAAATTCAAACATAGCAGAATTTTTTTTCTCACAATGGGTGGTTTTGATCCTGGTTTATATGCAGTTAAAGGATTTTTCTTCTTGTACTCTTGGCTAAATTTCTACCAGATTTGTTGCTCTCTGTAAGGTGAGGGTTCAGATTTGGACTTCTTGCTCAGACACTTTCCATGTAAAGTGAGTTTGAGGTGAACAGCTAAATATATTTAGACTCCACAGACTGTCATCTTTGGAACACTGTCATTGGACACCCTAAAGGCAGCGGACAGAGAGGCTCACATTCAATGTCCAACCTTTCCTGTCCAATCTAACAACTGAAAACATTAAGATGAAGGTTAATCCATGCTGAAATCTTATGATCGCTCCAGAGATCCAATTCCCCTGCTTAGCTGCCTGTTTAGACTAACACATGATCAAGGTTAGTCCGCTTGTGCGTGCACAACTATAGCAACCGCCTAACAGAGGCAAACACTTGTTATCTGTCTTATTATTGGTTGACTTACAGCATGGACAGGGAGCTAATCCTTCAGCAGGACGGGCTGGCTGTTGTTCTTTAATGGATTCAGTGGGGAAAAGAGGCCCTTCTCTTCCCCCTTGTCCATTCACTCGGCAAGGCTCTTCTGTGTGTCTGATCAAGTGCTGTCCTAAGGAGCCCCCCCCCCTCGCCACACACACACACACACACACCAACCCCCCACATGTAGTACAGTATCTGAAGTATTCTTAAGGCTGGCAGGCAGCTGCAGGCTTGAGCAGAGAACCACAGCTTTATCTTCTGACTTTAACACAGTGGAAAATCAAAATATATTATCCTTTATATTAGAACATTATGTGAATTATTACTGACAGACTATTTTGATCTTACTTTTATTATTTGAAACATTATGATGAATTAAATAGTTTTTTTTAAAGCCAAATCAATGTGGTTTCCATCACAAATTTAATTATTTAATAATTTTAAATTAAATTAGAATTAGAATTTAACTTTCAATGTCATTACACTGTCACAAAGCAACAAAATTAACTCTCTGCCTTTGGCCCATCCCCTTGGGGAGCAGCGGGCTGCCATTTTTACGGAGCCCAGGAAGCAGTGTGGGGTTAAGAGTCTGACTAATCCCTGTGAGGAAAAAAGAGAATAAATAATATATTCTATGTCTATTTAGTGATTTTTGATGCTCCACTCAAATCAGATACATTTTTAACAGTATCTGATTCTATATACATATCTATCTATCTATCTATCTATCTATCTATCTATCTATCTATCTATCTATCTATCTATAAAAAAAGGTTGCTTCACTAATAAACATCTTTTATATATTTTACACCTTCACTTCAATAAAAAAACAACTTTTCAATCAAAGAAAAAAGTATTTGAACTCAGAACTATAGTTGAGAGTCAAATAAATACATTTTGGAGTCTCAAATACTTTTTTTCTATTAAAAAGCTATTTTCTATGATTGAAAACGTGTATCATTTCATTGAAGTGAAATTTTTAATGGATTTTTTGTTTCTTTGTTTGAAGAAAATTCTTTTTTGATTGAATGATAAACACAAATCTCCAACCCATTAAATGGTCCAATCAAAAAACAGCATTACTTCAATTAAAAAAGTTGCTTTAAACGAAAGAAACTCGGCTTCTATCAAAGCAAACATTTTCAATCAAAGAAAAGCAGTGTTCAAATGTATTTTTTTTCAGTCTCAGCTATATTTTTGCATTCAAATACAAACTTTCTTTGATTGATTTGTTTTTCATTGAAGTGAAGGTGTTTTTAATTTGAAATATATTTTTTGATTGAAGCAACCTTTTTTAATTGAATAATAAAGACAAAAATCTACCTTCATATGGTTCTACCATAGACAAAAGGGCGCTGGAACGAATAACAATTAGAATTTCTAAAAAGCAAAATAAGTTAACTTTTAAATTTAGTGGAGAGAAAGTTATTAGTTCCCGACAACAAAATTACTGTTACTGAAGTAAAGATAGACAAAGAAATAACCTAAGTACAGTAATAGAGTTAATGTAGTTTGTTACTTTTCACTAGAGGTGGGCGGATCGCTCCTTGGATGGATACCATTGATACCAACGCTGGTATTGATATTGAACAACATTCATTTAACAAGATGAATGCTTTTTATTCTCTCCTGAAGGCACTAACTGCAGCAGATTCACCAGCCTTTAAACATGTTATCTAAGTGGGATTACATGACTTTATTTATCCCACGACAGGGACATTTATAGAATCAAGGCAAAAGACAAGTGCATACAATACAAACAAGATTACATAAAGATTTAAAGATATAAGAGGTGGATTAGGGAAAAAACACACAATGAACATAACATTATTAATATTATTATTATTTACAGTTTTTCTCGATTGTTTACACACAAATATTGGTACTTGAAACACAATGACCACAAAATGTAACTCATGCACCAACCCCCTGAACCAATTCTGCTAAACTACAAGCACAATTCCTGCTTTACACTCAAATTGCAGTTCTAAAACACACTTTTTCCAAAACTCTACACACAATTGTCATGAAGAAAATCTTTTGTTTTCACAAGGAACACACTGTTATTCAAAACTCTAAAGTTAATTTCCCTACTATGCACACTGACTCCTCACATGGGCAAACACCTAACACACATGTTTCCACTCAGCAATCAGAGCTTTAGCATAGAAGGGCAACAGGTGAGCTCTTCTGTTTTGGAGCAATGGAGGCCAATGTTGTAAACAGAGGCAGAGCCAGAGCCAGAGGAGTGAGAGTAAGAGGAGGACGATGGGGAGGACGAGGAAGGCCAAGGACAATCATTTCTGATGAGATCCGAGCAACTTTGGTTGACCATGTGGTCAACCATGGCCTAACAATGAGGGAGGCTGGGCAAAGAGTACAGCCAAATTTGAGCAGGTACACTGTAGCATCCATCATCCGGACTTTCCGCAATGAGAATAGGTAAGAAATCTACTCTCACTACAAAACTGCAGTACTGCATATCAATACAGTACTCAATGAGTACAGTAGTACAGTATTACCTGTGGACTGTTCTGTAGGACATTGTGTTTCGAGTATTTGGGAAATGTATTCCTACACAGTATTTACAGTATTGCACTCTTTGTATTGCAGAACTGAAAGATTACCAACAAGAGGTGGACGGGGCCGTCTTCTGTCTCCTGAACAGGAAACAGAGATCATGAACATGGTTCTTGAAAATAATGCCATTACCTTACGGCAAATACAAAGAAAAATAATAGAAAACAATGAGATATTTCAAAATATTGATAGGGTAAGTTTATCAACGCTGGACCGTGTCTTGCACAGAAATAAACTGAGGATGAAGCAGGTCTACAGGGTGCCATTTGAGCGCAATTCAGAAAGGGTCAAAGAATTGCGATATAACTATGTGCAAGTACGTCCTATACAGTACATTCCCACCTTTGATGCATACTGTCAACATTGTATAAATCATACATATTTCTTTCTATTATATTGTAATCATAATGATTGTGCTTCACAATAGAGACCGCTCCATGTCTACTTCTGATATTGTCATGTGTGTTTCAGAGAGTCCTTGAGCTGGAGGTGGATGCAGTGGAGCACCAGTTCTTCTTCATTGATGAGGTTGGATTCAACCTCACAAAAAGACGAAGGAGGGGAAGGAATATAATCGGCCAGCGTGCCATTGTTGAAGTCCCTGGCCAGCGCGGAGGGAACATCACAGTGTGTGCAGCGATGACCGACCATGGCATCATCCATCACCATGCTACCCTTGGCCCCTACAACACTGCCCATCGGATCACATTCCTGGACACCCTACACAACACACTCATTCCACCAGATCAGATAGACGGCCCAGAGCAGCTCAGGTACGTTGTCATTTGGGACAACGTAAGCTTCCACCGGGCTGCTCTGGTTCATAACTGGTTCACTGACCACCCACGCTTTTCAGTTGTTTATCTCCCTCCATATTCTCCATTCCTCAATCCTATTGAGGAATTTTTTTCTGCCTGGAGATGGAAAGTGTACAACCTAAATTCAGAAACGCGTATACCCCTTTTCCAAGCTATGGAAGACGCATGTGGAGATATAGCAGTTGATGCTTTTCATGGCTGGATTCGCCATGCTAGGCGATATTTCCCCCGCTGCTTGGCCAGGGAAAACATTGCTTGTGATGTAGATGAGGTGCTGTGGCCAGACCGAAACAGAAGAGAGGATGCAGCATAGTTTATTTTGTTTTGTTTTTTTATTATTACAGTAACTGTATACAGTAAAATCTTCTGCACTGTATGTGCAACTTTGTGTCAGTTGGGATGTACACTGTGTACATTGTTTTGTGGGAAAAATAAAAGATGTTTGTTACAGTATATTTGTGTGTTCTGAGTATAAAAACAATATTCTAAAATATTTTACAACGCACTTATGTATTTAATGTCTGTAGTAAGTGTAACACTGAACAAAAAGTCATTATGATGAATGGAGAATGGTGTTTTACACTGAGCACATCAGTGTTTAAATGCTTTTTTTAATTGTCTGTTCATATGATAGTTTGTGTGTGTCATCTGAACACAAAATGGCCTTTTGTGAAGAGATAAAACTGTTTTGAATGTAAAGTTTCATTTTGCAGGAGAATTGAAGGGTTTTGCCCATTGTGTGTGTGTTTGTTGGATTTGTGTGTAGAGTTCTGAGAATACGAGGCATGTTTTCAGAAATGTGTGTAAACAATCCAGAAAAACTGTAATTGTAACAATAAAAAAAAAATCACAAAATCACTGAAAGGTCAACAGTCCTATGATCCATCAAGTTTTAATTTAGTATTGGTATCGTATCGATACGGCGATACTGACCCTGTATTTACTTGATATCGTATCGATTAAAAATTCCCGGTATTTCCCACCTCTACTTTTCACCACTGCGTTTGTGGCAGATCCGTGTGTTTACTCTCATGCCAATTTTAACATAACTCATTTTTGTCACTTTAAATAATATGCTGCCATCATTTTGCACATCTCTGTATTCTATTCTATTTTTAGCTTTAATATTTTATTATCATTTCCACCCTCTTTCTACAGAAGAGAATTAGGGCCACTGAAAAAAAAAGTTAAGTGATTTTTATATTTTTTTTCAGCTTAATATGGGAAAAAAAGTCAGAATTCTGACTTTAATCTCTGAATTCTGACTGAATTCTGAGAGCTAACACTCATGTTAGCATCAAGCTGTAGCCTTGTCTAGAAACTAACTAGCTCTTTTGTTTTAATCACCTGCTCTTACATTAATGAAATAGGATGAAACCCCTTGGGCACGTAAAAAGTCTTCCCACATGCTCCCACATCTCTTCCTTCATGATGCCCTTTAAGATTAAGATCCAGAATTTGGAGATTAAAGTTAGCATTCTGCGAAAAAAAAGTCAGAATCCTGAGAAAAAAAGTCAGAATTCTGAGGAGTAAAAAGTCAGAATCCCGAGACTAAAGTCAGAATCCTGAGAAAAAAGTCAGAATCCCAAGGAGAAAAAGTCAGAATCCCGAGACTAAAGTCAGAATTATGAGACTTAAGTCAGAATCCTGAAAAAAGCCAGAATTCTGAGAAAAAAAGTCAGAATTCTGAGACTAAAGTCAGAATCCTGAGAAAAAAAAGTCATAATTCGGAGGAGTAAAAAGTCAGAATCCTGAGAAAAAAGTCATAATTCTGAGATCAAAATCAGAATTCTGAGAGAAAAAAAGTCATAATTCTGAGGAGTAAAAAGTCAGAATCCTGAGAAAAAAGTCAGAATTCTGAGATCAAAGTCAGAATCCTGAGAAAAAAGTCTGAATTCTGAGATTAAAGTCAGAATTCTGAGAAAAAAAGTCAGAATTCTGAGATCAAAGTCAGAATCCTGAGAAAAAAGTCAGAATTCTGAGAAAAAAAAGTCAGAATTATGAGATTAAAGTCAGAATTATGAGAAAAAAGTCAGAATACTGAGATTATACTGAGATTAAAGTTAAGTGTTCGAAATAAATGATCAATCAAAATGTCAGAATTCTGAGAAAAAGTCAGAATTCTGAGATTAAAGTCAGAATTCTGAGACTTAAGTCAGAATCCTGAAAAAAGCCAGAATTCGGAGAAAAAAAGTCAGAATTCTGAGACTAAAGTCAGAATCCTGAGAAAAAAAAGTCATAATTCGGAGGAGTAAAAAGTCAGAATCCTGAGAAAAAAGTCATAATTCTGAGATCAAAATCAGAATTCTGAGAGAAAAAAAGTCATAATTCTGAGGAGTAAAAAGTCAGAATCCTGAGAAAAAAGTCAGAATTCTGAGATCAAAGTCAGAATCCTGAGAAAAAAGTCTGAATTCTGAGATTAAAGTCAGAATTCTGAGAAAAAAAGTCAGAATTCTGAGATCAAAGTCAGAATCCTGAGAAAAAAGTCAGAATTCTGAGAAAAAAAAGTCAGAATTATGAGATTAAAGTCAGAATTATGAGAAAAAAGTCAGAATACTGAGATTATACTGAGATTAAAGTTAAGTGTTCGAAATAAATGATCAATCAAAATGTCAGAATTCTGAGAAAAAGTCAGAATTCTGAGATTAAAGTCAGAATTCTGAGACTTAAGTCAGAATCCTGAAAAAAGCCAGAATTCGGAGAAAAAAAGTCAGAATTCTGAGACTAAAGTCAGAATCCTGAGAAAAAAAAAGTAATAATTCGGAGGAGTAAAAAGTCAGAATCCTGAGAAAAAAGTCATAATTCTGAGATCAAAATCAGAATTCTGAGAGAAAAAAAGTCATAATTCTGAGGAGTAAAAAGTCAGAATCCTGAGAAAAAAGTCAGAATTCTGAGATCAAAGTCAGAATCCTGAGAAAAAAGTCTGAATTCTGAGATTAAAGTCAGAATTCTGAGAAAAAAAGTCAGAATTCTGAGATCAAAGTCAGAATCCTGAGAAAAAAGTCAGAATTCTGAGAAAAAAAAGTCAGAATTATGAGATTAAAGTCAGAATTATGAGAAAAAAGTCAGAATACTGAGATTATACTGAGATTAAAGTTAAGTGTTCGAAATAAATGATCAATCAAAATGTCAGAATTCTGAGAAAAAGTCAGAATTCTGAGATTAAAGACAGAATTCTCTGATTAAAGTCAGAATCCTGAGAAAAAAGTCAGAATCCTGATGAGGAAAAGTCAGAATCCTGAGACTTCAGTCAGAATTCTTTTTTTCCCATATTAAACTGAAATAATATTTAAAAGTCAGTTAACTTTTTTTCAGTGAGCCTAATGCTCTTCTGTATCTTTCCATTGTACTTATTTATGTATTAATTTAATATTATGATTTATGTGTGGAAGTAAAAACAAAGTGGTTTGTGGTTGTGAAAAAACAACTCTTTAGTAACCCTATCCTGACTGCGGGTGGCGGCAGCTCCCAGTTATCGCGAGATCCCTCCGGATTCCAGGAGGCTGTGTGTGATCTGCTCTCCTCTCCTCTACTCGTCGCTCCGCTGGGAAAGCAGAAAATAAAGCCGCTGCAGCTACTAAGGAGGCTAGTTATGGAAGCGAACCTTTAAACGCTCATTTCCTCCGCTGGGTTTGAGCAGGAACCGCCTCCCTTCCTTCTATTTTTTTTTCTTTTTACCAGGAAGGAAAGGATTTTAACTTTTGGTTCTCTAAAACCTTCGACGTTATAGTAAAAAAAGGAAACGAAGTGAAGTTGAAGAAGCGAGTGAGGAGAGGATTTCATTAGCTGTGTTTGTGCCTGCTAGCCTCTACCGCTAACCGGAGCACTGGATGGACTTCGCATGGAGCTGCCCCTGCTCATGGAGTTTTATAAATAAGCTTTTATTTATGTTTGAGTCCGTGTTGTTGAATGGGCTCTATCTGCCTGCATCTTAACGGCAGCCGTTGTTCCCATCCCACTATTGAGCTTGAGCTCCTCTGGGAAGCTAACAGGATATTAGCCTCCTTCTCCCCTCTTCTCTTTGTGGTTGGAGGCCAGGGAGTGTAAGGCGTTCATCCCTGGGCTGGCTGCTGGAAAGCCTGGCTTAATGGCAGCTAATATCTCCTCCGGAAAGCTGCAGCTGGATTCAGTCTAAACGAAGGGAAGGAAACGTTTGCAGCAGATGCTGAAGTCCGTAAATTGCGTTTGTTAGTTGGAAATGCGTCGCAGCGCTGGAGCTTATTCCAGGTTGGGATAAGAGGAAAGGGGGGAGAAGAGCGGAAAACCAACATTAAGGTCTTTGGGAAATAAAGCGACTCCCAGCTTTTAGAAAACCTGTAAAATATAATGTCTGCTGCAAAGGAAAACAGCTGTAGGAAATTCCAGGCCAACTTCTTCAACAAGAGTAAATGTCAGAACTGTTTTAAACCGAGAGAGCTGCATCTGCTGACCGACCAGGACCTGACCCAGGTGAGCCAGATTCACACCCTGCTTCATGGCTCTTAGATTCTAAAGGATTTGGGCCACTGAAAAAAAACCAACTGATTTTTAAATACTTCAGTTTATTATGGGGGGAAATAGTCTAAATTCTGACGTTAGTCTCAGAACTCTGACGTTAGTCTCAGGATTCTGACTTTAGTCTCAGGATTCTGACTTTAGTCTCAGGATTCTGACTTTAGTCTCAGGATTCTGACTTTAGTCTCAGGATTCTGACTTAGTCTCAGAACTCTGACTTAGTCTCAAAACTCTGACTTTAGTCTCAGAACTCTGACTTTAGTCTCAGAACTATGACTTTAGTCTCAGAACTCTGACTTTAGTCTCAGAACTGACTTTAGTCTCAGGATTCTGACTTTAGCCCCAGAACTCTGACTTTAGCCCCAGAACTCTGACTTTGGTCTCAGAATCTTGACTTCAATCTCAGAATTCTGACAGCTAACAAACATGTTAGCATCGAGCCTTAGCCTTGTCTTAAGACTAAACTAGCTCTCTTGTTTTAATCCCCTGCTTTTACATTAATGAAATTTCATCACGCCGGACTCCTCACGCACGTAAAAAGTCTCCAAATTCCTTCATTTTCCACCAATGTGTTACTGGCCCTCCCAAACTACTTGCATCTTTATCAGTGAAGCTGAGTGCTCCCACATCTGTTCTGGGTGCCCTTTATAATAAAGATCACAAATTCTGAGATTAAGGTCAGCATTCTGAGAAATAAAGTCAGAACCCTGAGAACTTTTTTCCCATATTAACCTGAAATAATATTTTCAAATTAGTGACACTTTCTTTCGTTTTTTTCAACGACCTCAATCCTCTTCTGTAGTTGAACTATCTATTGTAATGATTTTTTTTTAAATTGGAAATATTGAATTGTCCACAAGCTTAAAAACACCACAGAAGCCAATACTGTGGTACCATGCTTAATTAACAGCTTCTTTTAAAACTTAACATTTAATTAAAATGCAACTGTTATTTTAGGTATTTGCAGCACTTATTGTGAGTCCCAGTTCTTTTTGCGGGATTAACTGGATTATTTTACACTGAGGTGGTAAAGAAACGGCAAGTAATTATTTCATTATCTGGAGAGCTGTAAAATTTAAAACAAATATTTGAAAAATTCTTGCTGAAACTTAAGAATCCGGGCCTGCTTAAAGTTGTAGGGAAGTCATATTTAAATGTCAAATGATTCTGGCTTAAACATGTATATAAATGTACTCTTTTATCAGACGGTACTGTTTCAAAATTTAGAAAATTTCTAAAAAAAAAAATCCTGTCTTAAAATCTGGTTGTTGTTTTTCTTCATTATCTTATGCAGGCCAGTTAGCTATACCTCAGCCTGTACACGTAAATTTGGCCAATCATATGTTTACGATCATCTGTCAATCAAATTTTTTCGGTCATAGCATCTTGATTCATATGTCGCAGCTAATATACGCAACGGTTGAAATAAGAATCATTTCCTTTCCCATTGAGTTCTGTCCCAGTGTTCACGGGGATGGACGTCTGTGTCTTCGGCAGGCGTAGAGCTAACAGAACTGGCAGCGCTGCGAGGCAAGGGCTCAAACATGTATGGCTGTAAGCCTTCTACACCAAGCCAAGCTTCTGCCACCCTGTTGTCCTCTTCCACGACATCTTCATCCCCGCTTTCCTCCCCTAAATAAAAAATGTATGACGGAGGAGACTCATCCACGACCTCCGACACTAAACTCTCCTCCTCTTGAATGTTTCTGCTGTCCATAGCGTTCCTTGAAAGTGTCGTTTCTAAGTCACCAATTTAGCGTTACTTGGTCTCAATTAGGGTTGTCACGATACTAAACTTTTCAACTCGATACCGATACTAAGGAAAATATTCGATACTCGATAGCATTTTCGATACCACAAGGATAAAAACAAAGATTCCAAAATTCAACAGAAATATTTTCATTAATAAATAAAATGCAATAAATAAATAATAATAAACAATAAAAACTATATTTTGAGGTTGTTTGCTGTGCACAATATTAAGCAAGCTTGATAAAAAACTTATAAAATTAAAATTAAGTATTCCTTCCTTGGCTATGCTTTGCACACATAATAATGACACTAGCCAAACCGGTTAAGAAACAAAAATAAATCTCAGCAGCTGCACCTCTTACAAAAAAAAGTCTGAAACTGAACAGTGCACAGAATTATTCAATCACGCAGTGTTCTGAAAGTGCATTGTTCTCTATTCTGCACTTTAGATGAATGATTGCTTAGGTGCCGCTGGTGATGGCACTGTATCGATACTTTTAAAAACGAGTATCGTATCCGGATACAACGTTTCAGTATCGATACTTTTTTGAGTATCGATACTTTTGACAACCCTAGTCTCAATTGAATTTCACATTGGGAACCTACTAGCACTAAGTTGCAAACTGGTTAGCAAGATGCTTTCGACAAACCGGCAACAACCAAACATGCCAGTGAACCTTCCACCACAGCAATCCCGCCCCCTTGATAAACGACCAATCACATTCACTTTATTCACTCGTGTAAAGTCATGCTTCACTCAGGAGAATTCGGAAATGCAACGGTTGGAACAGCCATTTCCCTGTGAATATAAGTTACAGCTGCTACACTGAAGAGTGTTGGTTTGCGAAACCTAAATGTGCATTGTTATGGTGCATTAACTGACAGAATTTTTTTTTGTTTTTTTGGTTTTCATCCAATAGTTGAGGATGTTAGGAAAAGATCGCACAGATCCAGCGACCAGCCAGTTTTATCTTTTTACGTAGAAAACAACTCCTAAGTAACGTTTTCCAAAGTACAAAAATTATTTTTAAGTTTGTCATCAATGTTTAGTGATACAATCCATGTTTGATCTGTAGTACTTTAGCTGATTAGATGATTCCTTATTCATTACAACAAATGGGGTTGCCTTTTAATCAAGGCCAATATAGAAGATAAAACCCTTATTTTGTAAGCAGTTCTAGGGTGAGATGTTTAAGGAAATAGGAACCTCCTGCCCACACACACTTTGACAAGTGCAGCTGTAGGTTTAGAGAGTGAACTGACAGCCACACTCTTTTTGCTTTTAAGAATGAGTAAACAGAAGTGTTGATCAGATGTAAAGTCGAGTTCATCAGCAGGGTGCCTTTACAGATGATGTCTGATGCAATCAGTATTTCAGTTTATTTTCTGTGAGTTAATGAGGATAAAGTTTGGGTTAAGTGTTTTCTTTTTTTTTAAAAGAGCTGTTAACTTCTTGAAGCATTATGTCCTTTTCCTTCTGATGGAATCAGCGATTGAGGAAAACCCACGGATTGTCCGATCTAAATCCGTTCGGTGCTTTAAAGGTCTGTTGGAAGAAGACAAAGTAGATCTCTGCGATTAAAGTATGTTTTCCAGCTTTCTCTCCTGGATCATTAGTTTAGTCTGTGATGCATCCAGTAATTGATCCCAGATGGGCTCCTGAATGCAGCGTAACAATCAAACCACGACGTCAGCATCCTCCTCCTCTGCTGGAAGTGCTGGTGTGCAATGCTCCCATTGGAACTTGTGCATCTCTGTATGTGAGGTTAACCCTTTGAATTCCACAGTCTGGATGGAAGGTTTAGGGTTACATCACTTCCTTTAATCTCCCTTTGACCTGACCACCACTGTCTCCTACATCCTGTTTGAAGGCACCCTGTTCTTCCTCATTGTCCCTGTAGCAAAGAGGATTCTTTTGAAAGTCCTCCCACACTGTCCGCGATCCAAGCAGTCTGCAGGGAGCTCACTCGCACAAAGAAGATCTGTGAGCTTTCCAATTGGGACCAACCTCAGGCCAGTTAGATGATCCAGACTGTTATGTAACCCTATGTAGGCAGGATGCAACCTTTAAGCCTTGATTAACAGATCTAAGGCGAAGGTAGGGATTTGTAAAGTAAAAAAATAAATAAAAAATTCTCCCCAGTGTGCAGGAGAGATGAACCCAATAACCCAGATGAAAGAAAGCTCTTCTAGTTCCTTGTAATGCGGTTATAACGCCATGAATGGGTGATTTAGCTAAGTGAATTTGAGTCCTAAATTAAATAGGAGTTGATCGGTGCTCAGGGGGAGCTGCATGGTTCGCTTTGATATTTGGAGGACAACAACCCAGCGCTAACAGTGTCTCTCTGTTAGGCAGTAGGATAAAAGCTCTGAGGGGGCCGCCGCACTAAAGAGCATGTTCTTTTATTACAGACAGTTTGCTCCATAACGAGTTTGTGTCAGGAGATCAAATCCCAACTGTTCAGGCCAGGCAGGGGTGTGACGAAGAAACTGGGGTGGCAGGAAGAGACAGGAGGCATGTGGTCAGGAACCTGACCATTCAGCTTCACTCAGGACGTTCGACCAAACCAACGCTTCTCAAACTCTGCGATGAAAGTTGGTGGGGATGCTCTAAGGGTGGCGGCTCATGCACATATAGGCTACGTTCACACTGCAGGCCTTAATGCTCAATTCCGATTTTTTTGTGAAATCGGATTTTTTTGCATGTCCGTTCACACTTCCAAGTATATGCGACTTGTATGTGATCTACTGTGTGAACTGAAAGCGTTCAACCGAAGTGTCCCGCATGCGCACTCGAGGACGCGATGACGTCACATGTAGCAAGCGTCCTCAGTGTTTGCGGAAGTAAACATGACTCGTGATACCGCAGCGTATATTGCGTTCTTTAAG